GTTCCATCACGACTGGGCTTGGAAACTCGTCGAGCACCACTTTCGATGCCTCGAGTACTTGGTCGAGGCGCGCGATCGGCCACTGCGGACTCGTGTCTTGGCTGTGCCACTTATACCCCTTGACTGTAAACGCATCCCCGGGGTGCGAACAGCCCACCACTGGCACAAACGTCAAGTTGTGTGACGCGAGTTGCGTTCGAAGGTGGCGGAAGGCTACGCCCATGTGGATCACGGCTGGTCGGCCTTTTGTAAAGTCATCGCCGTCTTTTGTAAAGCTCAGCGTGCCTTGCTCCATGTCGAACCGGACGCCGATCGTGTCCCCCGCAGAAAAGTACCGACCGTACAAGTGTTCGCCTTCGGCTTGGCTCCACCGCACGCGATAGCTCACAAATCCAAAGTCGCCCCACCCTTCGGACGACGTAATCTGTGACGACGCTATCAAAACGACGACAAATAGACTGCCGTGGTTGCATGCTTGGACGCCTACTTCCCAGTAGTGCACACCCGACGACATGCCAATGTTGCCTCGAAATAGCACGTGGTTCCCAGCACTGGCATGCGGTTCGAGCTTGCCCGACGTGAGGTCGCTCGACAATATCGCAGTGTCATGCGATGGCGGGAGAAGCACAAAGCGCTGATGCTTGTCCGCGAGCCACATCCCGTCAATGGAAACAATGCGAGTGTTCGTTGGCGCTTCCGTGTGGTACCTGGCGACAGGCAAAACTTGTACGAACTGACGAATACCAACCATCTTGCACTTGTGTTGGGTTTAAGAGGACGTGTCGAACGTGTCTCGACCACGTCGCCCTTGTAAAAGACATCGCTTCGAACTCCATACACCAAATGACTGGCTGATCGCTGGAACCCGAGGCTTTTCCATACGCTGGGGTATAAAGTAGGAACGCAGACGGGAACGGGTTGTTCACACCACAAGGCAGCGCCGTGCAAATCGTTGTCGACGTACGTCCCCATATAAAACCCTCCTCCTCCGCTTTCGTTCTTGCGTTTCGCGTGCAACGTACCGCCGCCATCGCGCTTTCCTTGCTTCCACTGACCGCAAATGACTTATTGGGTTTTTGAGTACTCTACTTCATCCTGTCCGTGCTTTAAGCCGAGGGCAACCACCATCGACTGCGGGCGAAACAAGCTCACGGCCGGCACGAACCCGCCTTGGTTGTTCACATGCACAAAAGCTTGCATGGGCAGCTCCATGTGGAGGTTCGTAAACGCATCGCCCAGCGCGGTGCGATTTCTGTAAAATGCCAACGTGCCTTTGATCATGTTGAGCTCAATGCCGACGCGGTCGCCTTGGACAAACCCGACAGAAGCATACCGCAACGCCGTGTTGCCGTGATAGATTTTTCCCGACGAGCAAAACCCCCACCCGAATCTGTCTTCGCCCAAAAGTAAGCTCGAGTTGACCCGTTCGATACACAACCCCCACCCGAATACCATCGGTCGCTGTTAATGACTGAATAAGAACTTCCCAATGGTACACA